GTTTAGGGTTTAGGGTTTGGTTGGGCAGAGCCCCCTGCTGCATCATCAGGTGTCTCTAAATACTTGTAACCGCTAAACCCTAAACCCTAAACCCTAAGGGCGATGAAGGAGACAAAGGCAACAACAAACAAAAGAGACAGCAGCAAAAGCGGAGAGAGACAGAGAAGAGAGACAGCAGACAGAGCAGAGGGGCCCTGCTGTAATGGATTAGGGTTTAGGGTTTAGGGTTTAGGGTTTAGGGGGTTCTTCGTTCCCACGAGGATGTATCTGAGTTCCTTTATTTAGGCTGCTGCTGCTGCTGCTGCAAGATGCCTAGCAGCAGCAGCTGCTGCTGCTTGGGGTATCTCCGCAGCTAAGCGATGCAAAGGCTTTGCTGCTGCTGCATTAATATCACGAATTCAGGTGTATGTACACCTCAAGAAAGACATAGGCATATTAAGATGTTGCTGCTGCTGCTGCTGCTGATGTGTACGTACACCTGAATTCGTATTGTAACTGTTTGTTTGTTTGTTTGTTTTATTTTTGTTTGTTTGTTCTCTTTTATTTGCTTCCTAAACCCTAAAGCCTAAGGCAAAAACATGCTTTGCTGCTGCTGCAGCGACAGCCGCGTGTGGGTCACCAATGCAGCAACAGCAGCAGCAGCAGCAACAGCAGCAGCACTTGCAGCAGCAGTACTTGTAGCATTCAGCAGCAGCACTTGCAGCAGCAGAGCCTGCAGCAGCAGCAGCAGCAGCAAAAGTTTTATCTCAATTGTAATTGTTTTGTTAATTGTTTTTCTGCTTTTCTTTGTACACGTTGAAGATAATCTGCTGCTAGTTGCTGCTGCTAGCTTTATGCTTGCTGCCTCAACCTGCTGCAGGCATCTGCTGCCGAATGTCGCCTATGCAGCAGCAGCAACAGCAGCGGCAACAACAGCAGCAGCAACAGCAGCAGCACCAATTGCAGCAGCAACAGCAGCAGCAACAACAGCAGCAGCAGCAACAGCAGCAACAGCAGCAGCAGGCCTCTCCTCTATCGGAAGAACAACTGCTACCCCGAGGACCCAGCTGCTGCAGCTAGCTGCAGCGCTCTATAGCTAGCTGTAGCCGGCCGTAGCTAGCTGTTGGTGGTGCTACAGCTGCTGCTGCAGCTGCTGCTGCCGCAGCTAGCTGTAGCTAGCTGCTGCTAGCTGGTGCAGCAGCAGCAACAGCAGCAGCAGCAGCAGCAGCCAGCTAGCTATGCACTAGGCAATGGGGGGTGCAGCCGCAGCCGACAAGAGACTGCTGAAGGAGACAGAGAGACAGCGTAGCTGCTGCAGAGAGACAGCGCGAAAGAAGTAATAAACAGCAAAATAAAAAAACAAATAAATATACACTTCAAAACTTAGTGCTGAAATAATTGCTGCAGCAGCAACTCGGAACTAGCAGCAGCAGCAGCTCCCAGCAACAGCAGCAGCAACAGCAGCTGCAGCAGCAGCAGCCGCTGGAACAAGCGTACAAATGCACGGCAACAAGAAGCAGCAGCAATTCATGTGTTGCTGCTGCTCTCTTTTAAGCTGCAACATATTATGAGAAGAAGAAGCAGCAAATGGGCTGCTTTTTTAAAGAACAGCAGCAGCAGCAGCAGCAGCTGCTGTGCTGCTGCTGCTGCTGCTGCTGTCGGCAAGGCGGTGCAGCCGGACGCAGTAGGCGCTGCTGCTGCTGCTGGAGCAGCAGCAGCAGCAGCAGCAAACAAGACCAGACAGAGTTGAAATTAAAAACCTTTGTTTAGTTTCTTAAATAAGAAAGAAGATCTTCTGCTGAGTTCAGTATCCTGAGCAGCAAGAAGAGCAGCAGCAGCAGCAGCAACAGCAGCAGCAGCAGCAGCAGCACAAGATCGACAGCCGCAGCGAGCCGCAGCAGCCGCCGCCGCCGCCATCTCGCGCTGCAGCAGCAGCAGCAGCTCAGCAGCAACAACAACCCCACCGCTTTCTTATATTTTCGATGTTGAGTGTGTATAAAGAAGAGAGCAGCAAAGACAGATGCAGCGAGCTGTTGCTGCAGCAGCACCGTGCCAGCAGCAGCAGCAGCAGCAAGCGTGCAGCAGCACGAGGGACAGCAGCATGACCTTACCCTCCAAATTTAAGAGAAGCCGCAGCCTGTAGCTTGTTTTGCTGCTTTAGCCGGCCAAACTGCAGCAGCAGCAACAGCAGCGGCAACAGCAAAAACAGCAGCAGCTGCAGCAGATGCCCAGGGGCCTGCACGTGAACAGCTGCACGCGCTGCAGCAGCAGCAGCAGCAGCAGCGGCAAGAACATCTCAGAGGCATGCTGTTGCCTCCTCTGTTGCGCCACGCTTTGCTGCTCAGCTACTGCCAACGCGTCAGCAGCAACGTAAGCAGCAGCAGCAACAGCAGCAGCTGCTGCTGCTGCAGCATCGGCTGCAGCAACGGGAGGGCTACGCTTGGAGAGCCGTCTCCTGTATAAACGCCGGCGTAACAGCAGCAGCAGCACGAAGGGGGCACGGACAGGACGTGCAGCAGCAGCAACAACAACAACAACAACAGCAACAACAACAGCAGCAACCGCAGCAGCAGCAGCAACAACAATGGACGACCCCGAAGCAAATGCTACAGAGACTCTTTGGTGGGACAGCGAATCTCTAGATCCTGAGACAGCAGACTCAGCAGCAACAGAAGCAGCAGCAGGGACAAATGCAGCAGCAGCAGCAGCAGCTGTTGCTGCTGCAGCTGTTGCAGCAGACCCTTTCGATGTTGGCTGCGAGGAGCTGCTGCGCCGATCGAGACGCAAGGAAATTGCTTCTCCAAGAAATGTGTCTGCTGCAGCAGCAGCAAGCTGCTTCCCCCAGGCAGCAACTCAAGAGCGCAGCAGCAGCAGAAGCAACAGCAGCAACAGCAGCAGCTGCAGCAGTAACACCGTAGCGCAGCATAACCGACCCAGCAACGGCCTGCAGCTACACCCCACGCAACAGCAACAGCAACAGCAACAGCAGCAGCAGCAGCAGCAACAGCAGCAGCAGCAGCAAGAGAATTTGTCTCAGCGCCGTGGCGTGATAATGTCGCTCAGCGGCATCCCTACAGCAGCAGCAGCTTCTAAAGTGCAGCAGCAGCAGCAGCAGCAGCAGCAGAGTTCGAAGCAGCGCTCAAGAGCGTGGTTTCAGCTTACCCCGAGAGGGACGCTTGCTGCCAGTAGCCGTGCTGCTGCGTCTGCTGCTCAAGCAGCAGCAACGCATGCAGCAGCAGCAACAGCAGCAGCAACAGCAGTAGCAGCTGCTGCTGCAGCAGGGAGGCCTAAGCCTCTAAACACCATAAAGCAGAGCGGGGTCCCTCCCGCTTCGCTGAATCTACTAGATTTCGGAGGCAGCTGTTCTGCTGCTGCTGCTGCTGCTGCTGCAGCAGCAGCAGTGCACACAAAGAGAGGCAGCAGGGTGCTGCTGTCTAGACACTCGGAAGCAGCAGCAGCAGCAGTTGCTGCAGCAGCACGCCTCAAACTCGGCCCCACAGAAGGCGTCTCCAAGTGGGAGTCGATCCCAGACGATGCCCTTTACGCTCCCAGGCCAAAATGCAGAGGCAAGCAGCAGCAGCAGCAGCAGCAGCAGCAACAGCAGCAGCAGCAACAGCAGCAACAGCATGATTAGGACTAGTTCTTGAGGCCTGCCTGTCTCCTCTTTGTGCGTTTTTATGTTCATCCAATTCCATTTACTGCTGTGCCTTCTGCTGCTGCTGCTGCCCCCTCTGCTGCTGCTGCTGCTGCTGCTGCTGCAGGTATAAAGAAGTTTCTGCTGCGGTTAGCCCGGCGAAGAGGAGAGCTGGAGTGTCTGCTGAGTAAAGGGGTTGAGCCTGAAGCATTTGCTTCTTTGCTGCTGCAGTCTCAGAAGATTCCTGCGCATGCAAAACGCAGGCTGCTGCTGCTGCAGGACACACCTGCTGCTGCTCTTGCTGCTGCTGCTGCTGCTGCAGCAGCAGCAGCAGCAGCAACCCCAGAAACACCCCCCAGCAGCAACAGCAGCAACAGCTCCTATAGATTACCTTGGGAAGATAATTTGGAAGTCAGCTGCTGCGCCCTCAAGTGCAACAGCTGCAGCAAGAAGCAGCAGCAGCAACAGCAACAGCCAGAAGCAGCAGCAGCAACAGCAGCAGCAGCAGCAGCAGCAGGCCCTCGCCTCAATAGCGCAGACTTGCAGCGGCTGCGCTGCTGCAGCTCCTTCCAGCAAGCAGTGGAGTGTATCTGCAGCAGCAAAGGCATTCGGAATAAGACAGAGTTCGCCTACAGTAAGGCCTTCTGCTGTTTTTGCTGCTGCTGCTGCTGCTGCTGTTGCTGTTGCTGTTGCTGCTGCTGATGTCGGTGCTGCTGTTGCTGTTGCTGCTGCTGCTGCTGGTATAAACTCAGCCTGTAAAAGGCAGCACAGCGTCGCAAGTGTATCGCTAGCAGCTAGGTTCCTGCTGCTGCATCATTTGCTGCTGCTGCTGCTGTTTCTTGGGTTTGGTGCTGCATGTGCCAGTGCATTTGCTGCTGTTCATTATGTGATGCTTTTCATTGTTTGCTGCTGCTGCTGCTGCTGCTGCTGCAGGTCTATCACGTCCGTTGAGTGCAATGAGGGGGTTAATATTTAGCCGCCAGTTGCTGCAGCTGCTGCAGCGGCAGCAGGTGCAGCAGCAGCAGCACGGGCCACTCTTTGCCGCTCTGTGGTGCCTTGCAATGCCGGGGAGGCAGCTACATAACACCATCACCAAAGACTGGAAGCTGCTAGGCTTTCAGGTATGCTGCTGCTTCTGCTGCTGCTGCTGCTGCTGCTGCTGCAGTTTGTCTTGCTGTTGTTGTTTGTTTGGTGTGTCTGTTGTAAGAGAGAGTCTGTTAGGCGTTTGCTGGAGCTGTTTCTGCTGCTGTGCTGCTGCTACTGCCGCTTCTGCTGCTGCTGCTGCTGCTGCTATTGCTGCTGCAATTGCTGTTGCTGCTGCTGCTGCTGCTGCGGTGCAGGGAGAAGACCCTTCAACTGACTTCAGAGGTTGTGGGGTTTTGGCGTTGCGGTGTCTGCTGTTTCTCTTCTGGAAGTTCCCTCTTCTCGCGCAGCAAATGGTGCAGCAAGGCAGCAGCAGCAGCAGCAGCAGCAGCAGCAGGAGCAGCAGCAGGGACGGAGAGGGAGGTGACCATAGCAGCAGCAGCAGCAGAAGCAGCAGCAGCAGCAGCAGCAGCGGTTGCTGCAGCTATTCCTTTGCAATAACACTCATAAACATATCTGCATGGCTGTGGCAGTGGGTGCTGCTGCGCGAAGATGTTGCTGCTTTATTTTGCTGCTGCTTCTCTGCTAGTTCTTGTCTATCTACTTTCTTTTATTTGTTTGCTTTTGCTGCTGCACAGTTTCATGCCTTCTGGTGTACATGCAGCCCCAAAACGCCTCTTGAATTTCCTTTTGTTGCTGCTGCTTTTCAAGAACAAGTCCGCTTCCGTAGCGGTACCCCCGCATGTCTGCTGCTGCTGCAGCACGAGCAGCAGCAGCAGCAGCAGCAGCAGCAAATGGAAAAACTCCTCCGGCTGCAAACGCAGCTACACCAACACCAGAAACAGCAGCAACAGCAGCAGCAGCAAGATGCAGCAGCATCAACAGCGGGGGAGCCGACCTACGAACCAGCAGCAGCAGCAGCAGCAGCAGCAGCAGTAGCGGCAGCAGCAACAGCAACAGCAGACGCCGCTCTGCAGCGCGAATGTCCTTGCTGCTCTGCACAGCTGCCCCCCTCACCTTGGGATAGCTTTTGCTGCCAGCAGCAGCAACTGCAGCAACAGCAGCAACAGCAACAAGGGCAGCAGCAGCAACAACAGCAGCAACAGCAACAAGGGCAGCAGCAGCAACAAGATGCGCAGCAAAGTAGCCAAAACAACAGCACTGACGCCGAAGAATTAGATGGTGTATGCCTTCCAGCAGCAGCAGCAGCAACAACAGCAGCAGCAGCAGCAACAACAGCTGCTACAGCCTTCGACCGAGGGGCAGCAGCTTCAGCAGCGGATAGAGCCTCCAGCAACCGCAACAGCAGCAACAGCACCAGCAACAGCAGCAGCAACAGCAGTAGCAGGACCGCAACTCCTGAGATACAAAGGCCGCTGTTGCTGCTGCAGCAAGTGGATCTGCAGCAGCAGCAGCAGCAGGAGACGAACGCCTTCGCAAACAGCAGCTCGGGTGCATACAGTTCAGAAATGGATTGCTGCAGCAGCAGCAGCAGCATCAGCAGCAAGAGTGGGGTGAGCAGCAGCGGCGAGAGCAGCAGGAGCTGCAGGAGTGCGAACCCAGCAGCAGCACGAACAGCAACAGCAGCAGCAGCAACAGCAGCAGCAAGGCTGCAGAGCTGCCGCGAAGTAGCAAGAGAGATGCAGATGCCGCCAGCTGCAGCACAAATTTCTGCTGCTGCGCTTTATTCTCGAGGGCCTCCAGCAGCAATTAAAGGTACCCGCTGCAGGTTAAGCGGTGCTGCAGCAGATTGCTATATCTTCTCAGGATACAGCAGCAGCAACAGCAGCAACAGCAGCAGCAAACTCGTCAACGCACTCGTGCGCGGGGGTAGTGCCAATGCAGCAGCAGCAGCAGCAGCAGCAGCAGCAACAGCAGCAGCAGCAGCAGCAGCACGAACATCACCCGCAAGGCAAAAGGCTTGCTGGGTCTCGCCGCCTGTTACTGGCAGCAGCAGCTTCGCTAGCAGCACTAAGAGCGAGTGCAAGGTCCCTGCTGCAGCACCAACAGCAGCAGCAGCAGCAGCAGCAGCAATGCAGCAGCAACGTCGGCAGCCTTTGTGTCTCTCCCGCACTTGCGCTTCCAGCGTCCTTGTCCCCCCACAGGCGACAAACAGGTAGCAGCAAGCATCAATATCTCTGCTGCAGCAGCAGCAGCAACAGCAACAACAGTTGCTGCAGCAGCGGCAGCCGTAGCGGCTGCAGTCTCTCTGCAGCAGCAGCAGCAGCAGTGGCTGCTGCTTTCGTTAGTGGTTTGTAGCAGGCTGTCTCTTTCTCTCAGTCTCTGCTCTACACGTGTCTCCTTTTGCGTCTCTCTTATTTGTCTCCTTTGGCAGTTTTAGGGACAGAAGGGCAGCAGCAGCAGCAGCAGCAGCAGCAGACTTGCAGCAGCAGCAGCAGCTCCTGC